CATATAAATTACAAATAATCGCAGCGGAGTGCTGCATGGCATTTGCATTTTGTATGTATGCAAGGGCTGGCGGTTGTGGAACCGTCTCCTGCACTTGCTTGATAGCACGTTCATCATACGCCGGGGTGTGTTCTCTGAAATACATAGAAATTCAAAAGCAGCTATTTATTATTGTTGTCCCCTAACTTTACTAATATTTCAACCATCCTAAATAGTATGTGGTCAGAAATCAAATTCAAAATTTTATCACAATTTCTAAATGCTCTTTTGCAGACAGGCTATACTATTTATGTATTGTCCTTTCCGTTTCAAAAAGTACTCTATATTCTTTTAGAACATACAGTAGTATTATAAAACATCCTCACTCCCCGCTGCATTCAAAAGCCACGCTGATCGCAGCAGGTGGCGTGAATTTGGTAATATGCAGACTAGTAACTGTTCAGATGGTTATTGAGCTTAAGAGGAAAACTTGGCCATTTATCTCGCTTTTCGCTGTTAATAGTTTTTAGAATTTGCTTACTTTAAACGACTTAATGAACTGAAATTAGTCCACCATTAATGATAATAAATAATATCCATACACAACGCCGCGAAAACGTATGTATTTAATTACAACAAGTGTTAAAGGCATTGCTAATTAGACTTTGCTTTAGTTTGGTCGTTCTACATTTTCATTCGTTGCTAATTAATTGCCTGACAGTTTAATGAGGTAGCACCCATCGATAATTTTATGAAAATAATTGCATTGACTTTTTAAATTACGGTGCCTCGTGGTTCGTATACTTTAACAGAGCGGAATCAAGGTAGAAATTCTTAAAGTACTCAAAATGTCGAATACATTGACCTTTGGACCACTAGTAGGCTTTAATTATATCCTGAATAGGGCAAGTTTACCACGAAGTTTGTAATACCCAGACAAAGTATATACATATATATACATAAGTGATCAGTATGTTGAGCTGAGTCGATTTAGTCATGTTCGTCTGTTTGTCTGTCCGTTTGTATATATACGAACTAGTCCGTCAGTTTTTAAGATATTGTTATGGAATTTTGCAAAAGTCATTTTCTCTTAAAGAAGCTGCTCATCTGTAGGAACTGCCGATATCGGATCACAATAACATATAGATGCCACACAAAATCGGAATCATGTTCTTGTATTAAAAACTTCCACATTTGACAATGTAACTTCACAAAAGTTGGCGCAGGTTATTTTCTAAGATAACAATGGAATATACGAAGAAATTGTTCAAATCGGCTTACTATAGCATATAGCTGCAATAAATGAACGATCGGAATCTAGTGCTTGCACAGGAAACTTCCTCATTTTACGATATATCTTCACGAAATTTGGTATGTGTTATTGTTTATAAAAGTAATATAATATCAGAAGATATTGTTCAGATCCGCTCACTATAGCATATATGTAGCTGCCATACAAACCGAACGATCGTTTCGTTTAGTATGCAGCATTTCCATAGAATTTATTGACTTTATATCATACAATAGTACGTAATGCACTGTAACGGTATTGAAATGGAGAAAAATTTCCACTATCCTCTCCTAGCTCCCATATGCTGAATATGAACATTTCCGTTAGCCTAAGTATATATTTCGGATATTAAAAAAGATATATCAATAAAACTGGATAGTTTTGTGACTAGAAGAAATTTGCTAATCGATAATATATTTACAGACCCTTTATTCGAATATATGTATGTAATTCTGAAAAGTGGGAAGAAACATAGAAGTAGAACACAGAAAAATGACGCTGTTATTACTCATCCACTTATATGTGCAACTATTTTACTAGAACACAATTTGTGGCATGGAATTCTCAACACTCGTAAATTCATTGCAGTCTCTGGCTTGTGGACTAGCAAATGAGTGAATAAATTAATTTTGCACATAAATTGACATTTTTATCTTAAAATGCCATTTAACTAAACACGGCTTGTGGAAAATAATGACAACGCGCAAAAATTATTACCATTAAGTACAATCACCAGTGTTGATTGCGCAGAGTATCTCACTTTGGCAATGGCTTCGTTAACGCTGATGCTGAGACAGAAAAGTGGAGTACGTAGTGAAAATATAAAAAATGTACGCAAATATATATAAATGTATTCAAACCAAACAGAACCATAGGATTGAGATAAAAAATTAAATGACATACAATAAAAGTTATTATCGCAAATATTGACATTGTCACACCTTGTTTACACTCTCGTACGACTTAGACCACAAGCTCACATACACACGCGCACATGCACAAGTCGAAGAACGTAGTAGCTGAGCGCTTTGCTTAATTGATGGCAACCAGCTTGGCGGCSGTTCACTCACCTCCTACTCCCCCTACTCCACTACCGCGAATTTGAAGTTTGCTCGCTGCTGCTGCTGTTTACGCGATCGGGAACCTCCCTCACTTTCGCAAGCCCCGAAGCGTGAAGCGGTGCTCTCGCTAAGCCAATCATAATCTTGACACTGCAAATTTGTCAATACAGCGCACAAAAGCTTTGTTCAGTATGCAGAGTATATTGAAGGTAACATTGTATTCAGCTGTTGACAATAGCGCTGATTACTTGCCAGTAGTGTGATTGTTAGCGGCTAAAAATCAGCAAATGGAAACATTTTTAAACTTTGGTGTTTTAACATTTAAGCAGAGAGAACTTCTAGCAAATTCCAAACTAAGTTATATCCAATCAATACCATGTGTACACCGATAGGCTATTTCTGATAGAATTTATCGTCGCTGCTGATCAAAATCAAATTCAGGCTTATTTGTCACAATTCAAAATGGAACTTTTAGTTAAAAATTTGAAGAAAATTTTTCTGAAAACTAGTTTAAAATCCTTTGTTCAAATAGTTAGATAATGTTATTTCAAATATGTGTACACAATTCGAACTAAGTCGACCCATAACTTGTCGAGAAATCGTGTCCACCGACTTCAAATACACAGTTTCGAGAAATACGCTTTTAAAGGCTGCGCACTTGGCGTAGCTAGTCTCGAGCGCACACGTTCTCACAGCTGTATCTCCGAACTCGAATCAACTTGAAAATTTAGAACAATATTCTAGAGATCTTGTAGATTTTAATAGGATAAACAAAAAAATCGATTTTCAAACTCACTTAACCTCTTAATGAAAAACTAGCGAACCTAAAAAACCCGTTATTATTCATGGAAGGGACGCAAAAATATAAAACGAAACTTCGCTCACTAAAAACTGTAGAAAATCGAATATAAGTCATAATATGACTCTAAAAATTGGAAATTGACACGCATTTTTGAACAATGTGTTAATGTATGGCACTGGATAAAGATAGGATTAGTCCAACGAGTTAGAAAAAAGTCAGTATTTGTGGATTTTTAGCATCGTTATTTTTTTATATTTTATTTCATAATTTTTGTGATTTTATAATATAACTCATTTTGTTTGATTTAATTTTTTTAAATTGTTTTTTTTTTTTTAATTGTTTCAGAAATATACAATTATTTCATTATGCTACTGTGTGTAAAGTATGTATAGGCATTTTGTAAATAAATAATATGTGGAGTTAATAATTGACACAACAGTTGTGCAATGTTCTCAAATTATAATACAATAGTAGAAAGGTACATATTATACATAATTACATATGTACATATGCACAATTTCTTTAGCTTGRTGCTAATACGTATGTCAGTATGTATGTAGGCAAATGTGTATGCAAGTGGTTTGCACAAACAAAACTTAACAATCCACATGCTTTATGATTTTTGATGTTTCTTGTAAACGTCTTTAACCGATAAGCACCAATTTTATTTTTGATAATTTTGCTTACTTTTTATTTTTAATTTTACAATTTTACAAATCAATATAAAACATTTGAATACAATTTTAAAAGCTAAATTTTTTGTGCGTTGTTTTGGTGGTTTTCTTATTATTATAATTGCTATGAATGAATATAGCGCTTTTGAAATGAAAGCGTTTATCCGACGCAACGTTCCAAAGAGTTGAATGAACATTTTCTTCTAACTTTACCGAATGTAAAGCAAGGAAAATATTCACTCAGCGTAAAAATTTATCCTGTTTTCAAATATTTTTGTTTTAGTTTTTATAATTTATATTTTTAAGTATGCTTGCAATTGTGTTTATGATACAAAAGAGTTAAACAGAACTAAAAATAAAGTCACTATTAGCTAAGGCAAAACAACTAAAACTATAACTAAATTTAATTGTTTTTCCTAAAAAAATTCTCAAAAATAATAGAACTAAACTCGAATTCGTTTAAATTAGAAATATAGTTAATAAGAAATAAAAATGTACAATTATGGTAATAATAATAATAAAATATTAATACAGTTATGTGGTGAAAATGCGCAAATGGTCAGTTGTTGTACGAGTAAATATAATAATATTAATGAATGAGTATACATATGTATGTTTTTCATGTTTGGGGGTGTGTATGTTTGAGTGCGCATATATGTATGTATATTAAGTAATGTTGTATGCCTTTTGTGTGCGGTGTGCCTGCATTGGTGCGATTAAGCTTCTATATCAAATGTGTTGGACACACAAGTCATTCTTCCAAAYATAGGTATGCATATGTGTATAATTTTAGGCAAGTCCCATTACAGTTATTAAATGCATCTATCAAGCTGCTCCTGCATAGTTTCCAAGCTGGCGAAATTTCCAGCGCCCGCGCATTGAAAAATACTAAAGTGTGTTTCTAAAATAATTATTTTAGTGTCAAACATTTCAAAGCGCTATCAGTGCCTGGTAGACATTCTATAAACGGTAATACTTACACATATGCATACAAATATATGTTAGATAAAATGTGCCTTCGCAACAGTGTAATTACTATTAGTATTTTATGAATATAAAAACAAATATGTACGAGTATGTATATATAACTTTTTTTTGTAATATTTTTAAAAGTTCTTTTACTTATTCTATGCCATTCAGTCAATCAGTCGAAACGTTTGGGATGTGTTTCTCATTCTTGCACTGTGTCTTTCTCTCTCTATGCCGCCGCCGATCTCTGACTCTCAGTCTACAGCCAACATTGTGCTTAAAATCTTCAATCGGTATTCGATCCGACATTCATAAACTACTTGAAAAGAATTTCGCTTGCAATTCAGAGCTTTTTTAAGATTTTTTTTATGGTCTTTGGAAGAGTGCTTTGAAAAGCTATATATTCTGAATACAATTTTTTTTTACTGAAATCCTACATTTGCTAGAATCCTAAAGCAACTGCACTGGTATTCCTTAGGTATTTTTTATTCTGTACTTTGTAATGGCAGCCGCTACTGGATCGTTGAACTATCTTACTTCTGCTTCTACAACTTCTGCACTACACTTTAGTTTCTACGTCTGATTCTACTTCCATTTGCGTTAACATTTCCATATTTACTGCTGGATTATGATGGTTAAATTTTGCTTTAATCGGGATAATACATTAATTATGTCACTCTTTCTTTTCTTTCTTTTGTTATAAATATTCTTGTTGTTTTTGCTAACCGCCTAGAGGGTAAATCTTCGTTCACCCTCGGATAACCTTGCTTCAGTGCTGCTTTCAAATATGTTCATCGCTTCGTCTTATTCAGTTTCAGTTCTGGTTTAAAAAAGTCACAAAAAACTTGTATTTTCTTCAGAAGAAAACAGCGATTTTGTTTTCCTTTTTACAATGTTATTCGCGCGATTATATAAATATATGTAGGTATTTGTAAATGGTTTCGATTTGAACGCAGCGCTCAGCTGCTATGACCGTTGCTGCCGCTTCGGTTTAAATTTGTTTGCTGCTGCAATCGCTTTGACTGTTGTTGCTGTCGTTCGTCGACGGTGCCAGGTCGATCCTGATGCGCGCGTCGATGGTGGCGGCGTGAGCGTCGACACTGCGTCGAGCAGCACTCGTCAATGGCCGACTCGTTTGCATTCGCACTGCCGGCACCGGGTTTCTCATAGAATTTCCGCTTGGCTGAGATACGGGTCTGCTGGCAGGTAGAGCGTGAGCAACGCTTGCGATCACAATTCACCTTTGAATCCTTTAAGAGAGTAGAATGATTCGTTTTTCAATAAATTGTCTTAAATATGTAGGGTATGAGCACACTTACCTTGCATCGACATTTGATACATTTTTGTTCGCCATGTGATGCTAGAATCGGGTGCCACTCCTGTCCATTCTCGTAAACCTTATTTAACACTTTACAGCCACCTTGGCTGAGGATCTCTTCAGTGGATATTGTCTTATGTGACCCCTGATCCTGCAGTACGTTTGGATTAGAAGGACCGGCTTTGTCACCTCGTGAAGATTTGCTTTCAGGGCATACTTTGCAACAGGCTTTTTTGTCCGGACGGTAGGCGACCTTCTCAGAGCAGGGTAATGGTGGACAGACCATGCGTGGACAACGCACTTCCAGTGTTAATGCATCACAGGTACAGGTGGTGCAGGTGTCGAAGCCGTTTGGTGGTAAAAACGGATGCCAAATGGCACCGGCCAAGTGAAATTGGTCACCTAAACGGCAGCCCCTTACATTCTGCTCSGCAACGCTTTCCGTCTCAATAGCAATACTCTGCGGAAGACACATGGAACAACATTCGCCGTCACGTCGTACAAGCTCTTCGTTGGGTTTGCATTGTATGGTGGGACATTTGATCGGCTCACATGTGGGTTGGCCATGTTGGCAGGCGCACATCTGGCAAACATCATTTGCATTACGCCATTGTTCAGACTCATCATAAAACCGGCCTGAATGGAAGCATTTTGCATCTGCGGCAATAAGATTACTGTCACTATGGTCACCAGGTACATTTGGCACATTGTTATCCGTATGAATGGGAAAACAATGGGATGGCACTTTTGTGGATTTCAATTTGCCGCGTAAAAGTGGCCTACTACTTTCCTTTGTGTGTATTTCCAAGTAGCATACGCTGTTTTCCAATTTGACTAGTTCGTTGGAAGGCATGCCGAGCACGTAACCCTCCATGTAGGAACCAGAGAATTCCTCTAGTAATTTTCGTGTTACCGGTGCACCTATAGCTTCAATTGGCTTTTCTTCGAGGTATATTTGCAAATCCTGCGAAWTCGATTGAAAACCATTTACCGTTATCTCATAGTGTAAGTTACATTCATTATCGATGGCCAACCAAGCCATACCCATGGCGTGCGTTGGTGCAGTCGTGGCATTCTCTACTCGTTTCAATAGAATAGGTTCAGCGGAATCTCGGGCATCTGCAATGGGGCGGGGTACAAAATGGCCGCGTATGAGACTTGGTTCATTCTCAATAGCTATGTTGACTCCTAAGTCACCCTCATACAATGATTCCAGTGCTTTTGGGCCTAATTTGTCGATCGTGCCAATAGCTTGGTTGAAATTGAATGTTGGTGTAAGGTTTTCTAGCATGGTCTTGCGTTTGCCGAGATCTTCCATCAAATTAATTTCGGGTCTATCCTTTGTGCTAATGTTATCTGTTTCGATGTTATATGAAAGAGATCCATCAGTGTTTAGAAATACCCATGCTAAGCCGCTGCTCTTTGTTTTCGATTCTACATTGTGTGGGGTGAGTAAAGTCTGGAAGAGCTCGCAAGTAGTACGTGTGATAATGGACCCTTGTATGCGTAAATGAGGGTTTTTCTTCGATTCTATTGTGAGCAATAATTTACCACGTGACATTAAACGCAACATCGGTATGGATATTGGCGAAGATATTTCCAATACATTAATCTCAGCCGAAGGTTTACGTACTTTTTGAAGTTCGTCTAAAACGATTTCTTTACGATCCGGTGATTCGACTCGTATATTAATGGGGGAATCCAAATATTCATCGGAGCTAAAGACACCATTGAAGACAAGCGTTAAATGTACGGAGGCGGCCGCGCCACTGGTCGTGGACACAATAGCTGTGCCACCAGCCCCATTCATTAGTGTTGCTTTCGTACCTGGTGCGGGTTCCAGCAATGAGCTGAACATTTCCTTCTGTAAGGCGGTGTACAACCCGATCTTTCCACCTAGAGCGAGATCAATCTGATCTTTTCTGCCCCATAGCAAAACAACGTGTAGCCGTTCATCACGCAGGAGTCGCTTGTAATCACGCGGAACACGACGCCATACTCCGCAAATCTTACCAGTGGCATTTTGATACACGCTTTGCATATCAGAAAGAGGCGYCTGCAGTTGATGCTCTTCGAGAATGGTGCCGGCGTCGTTAACAAATTGTATGGTTCGTGGGCGATTATTTTTCGATGAGGTGTAGAAGGAGTAATACAGATTCTTCTTGTGGAACAAGAAGCGACCAGTGGCAACAATATTTTGTGGATTATAAGTGCTTGTCGCATACATGGCCTTCATTTCTTCTCCTTTTAGGAAATGTGATGTTCTGCCGGTGAGTAGAGCAGCGAAATCTGTTGGAAATAAAGAATTTTTTCGAGAATGTTGAATAATACTCGACTGGATTGGGGTAAACACTTACGCTTCATGTTGCGCTCCTCCTCTTCAATGTTTACCGGAGCAGGTACATCCAAAGACACGTCCGTATCTGCAAAGAAAATCGAAGAAAATAATATGAATATGAAACAAACAAAATTCCTCAGGCATTAAGAGATTAGACAAATTATGAAACTGTCAGCAGTTAAATGGAATTGGGATTGTATGGAAGTAGAAACCTTAAAATTTGCAAAGCGAATTCAAAAGKCATCACAAACCAAGTAAAAAGGATAATTTATGTATGAATGGCAAAACGTATAAATAATGTTTCGAGTATTGTGGTATTGTGCGTCTGGTGGGCAGTGCGCCTGCGTGCCAATAGTAGACGGGTGTTTGCTTATGTATGTGTTTGTGATCATTTTGAAAATTRAAGCGATCATAAACCCTTGTCACGTTCGATGCTTAAGCCCAATATTTATCACACAGATAGGGCGCGGGTATTTTGAAAGGGATTTGCGTATGTCTTCATATGTGAGTGTCCGCACACCGACACGTATGCACAATCCGTAAATAGTCGCTACCATAGGAATTTGGAGGAACAATTGGATGAAGAGTTGTGTAGAGCGATCGTGTTGCATGCATTTGCTGCAGGTGAGGAGACGTAGGAGGCGGAAATAGCAGATCTCTCAAATCTTCGAGTTAAGAAGATTTTAAATCGTTTCTGATAATAAACAATAGCACAGCGATCAACGAAGACACCTATGTAACATATACAAAAGCAGACATTCGGGCATTGCGGACAAAAGCCGATTTGTGGGCATTAAAGGTTACCAACTGGCCCATTGTTGAAGCGAGAAACTATTTGCTTATTGCATGTTCGACACGGATTTGTACAAATGTACTATATGTATGTATGCACAAAGAGATCTACTGCATAAATAGCTGAAAGCATTTAGGAAGACTGTAGACATTCTTCCAATTGCCGTCTTGTTCCCTCTTCGCCGGCTGACCTCAATGAAAGGAAGGAAGCCCATAGCTCGCAACGGCAGGTAAACAAGTGGAGGAAATTAGTGCGGTTATTGTGTGTAATTTGGTGCGCAACGTGACGCCCAGCGGCTTCCAAAAGCAATGAAATAGCAGGAAAYCGCCGTCGAGGCTTCAGCCGAAGCGGGAAATACTTGAATGAGCACAGCGTAGACTCAATGATGTGGCATTGCTGTGCGAAGAATAACCAAAATTACAACAATAATATCAACAACAACTGCGGCATTAACCAAATTCCATACACACGATTACTTGCACGTCGCTTTGTCTGCCATTGCGTCTGCCACACCGGCTGGATGTTGGCCCGTTTGCCTCGAGACGTGTTTCGGTGCTGGATGAATTGCAGTGATAGGCAAATAGCTGATCGTGCCGCACACTTAGCACCCGTACTCGTACCCGTACACTTAGGAGTTAAAATATGTAGCATTGAGAATGGCCTGTACATTGGTTTTGGGCTGAACACTGTGGAGCTTATCGCTGATTGCAAATCACGCCGCCAAACAATATCCACGCTGGTAACTGCGTACCGAAATTCTTGCCATTAGCGCAAGAGGTCCTTCAGGTCGGTAGCCTACTGAATGGTTTGACTGGCTGTCTAGTTGAGAGATTGTCTGACGGTGAGTATAGAGGACGTACTTAGCGACGGGCCGTTAACGAACGAGCATTCTCCAATCACCTTTTATTATTCGATACCATAGCATAGCTTGGTGCATTTGTAACGCTTATTTTGGTCTTGTGCTTTGCGTGCAATTGTTATTGTTGTTTATTTGACAGCAAGGTATCAGACATATGACGATTCGAATTCGACGCGGGTAATTTGTGATCRCTCGCGTCGATACGACAATGAGCTGAGCTGAGTTCAGCTGAGAACGGTATTTCAGTGGGTGCCGAAAAGCAACTAGTCGACTTCGCCACAACACAGATACTGGCAAAGCAAAGCGGTATATGCTGCTATCGTGGTTGCCCATGCTGAAGTRGTCAATATGTAGCAGTACTTATGTATGGTTTGCGAATGCTTAAATGCCTTGTGAAGCAAAAATTTTACCAACGACCAATTTTTATGCACTCCATTGACGTTACTGGGCGCGCGATCTTAAACGTCTGATTAAGCGCGCAGCCTTGCGACCCGCAAGCGACAGCCGTGATTGGACAGCCGCGCCAGCAACCTTGTCGGTGGCTCCAGCTATGTGCATGTCGCTTATCGGCTATGCTGTCCCCGGCAATGACTCTGTCCCTCCCTATGTTACCTGCGTTTAAATTGTCGATTCTGAGGAATTCTTTCGTCGGCCTTTTTTTATTTTTTTTGCTTTGCTTATTTTAAGCGGATCTGCTGCCGATGGCCGTTCAGTGCATTGTTATAACTATACGATATGCTGTTTGTAGATTTGTAGTCGACAGTGGTAATGAAGGGCGACAAATCCTTGTATAGCATTTTATTGAACGTGTTGAACGTTGAACAGGAAGGAATACCCATTGAGTTTTTGTTTGATCCTACACTTAATTCTTCGTTACTCGTTCTCCATTCTTAAATCTTTAACTTTATTATTTTTTGTTTTTGTGTTGTTTTTTTTTTGCATGGTGCAGCACTGCTTGTTGTTATATCCCTTTATAGGTAGGCATACATCTTACATTGGACTGCAATCTTTTTTGATTCACATTTTTCGGGTCTTGCTGCGCTCGTCGGTGTTTATGGTCCGATGCGTGTTCATGTTTTTATTTTTATTGTTGTGCTGGCTTTTGCAGTTCCACCGGTCGCAGTTAACAGCACTCTGCTCCGCAACAACTTTGATCTTATCATTTGATCTTAATACCTTTTTCTTCTGAATTTGACAGGCCGACGGTGGACAGCGGCACACAGACAGGCAGAACGGCAAACCTACTTTCGGCGCTGGGTAGTGCAGCACGTTGGTGCGGTTGATTATGGTGRTAAGGTGTTGCTTATTTGTGTAGTGTGGATGGCGCTACCGCCACAACAGCAGTTTAGCCAACCCGACAAGAACGCGGGCAACTCAACGCGTCAAACCAACAATCCGGCGCATTCACGACTTTTTTGATGGGATCAAAGACATTCCTGTGGTCGTGTCAAAGCCGGTGTCATTGCGAGTGTTGCTGTCACTGGTCATATAACTACCGCCGGTGTGAATATTTCTTGCGTCATTTTTTCCACTTTTCGAATTTGTGTTCTACTCTGCGCTGTCTGGCTGTTGCTAAGCTATTTCCCTGTGAATGTGTACCTATTTTTTTCTCAATGGATTTTCGGACTTTTGTTGTTCGCCTTAAGAATAATTTTAATGAAGTTTTTTATGCCAAAATATTAATGAAGCGCTGGTAGATCTTTAAGTCCCCTGGCAGCTCGCAGGTATTCTAACACGTTTTTGAATATCGCTGAGCGCAATAAGACCAATTCCTTTGAGGTTGAGAAATTTACTTTAGTTTAGTGTTTTATTGGGAACACGCACTGTCCTACACCCATGTGATCGCATTTTTATGCGTTTGCATTAATATACTGTGGCATAGAATGCCGTAAGGGTATACATTTATAAAGAAGCAAATTAAATTAATGCAAAGATTCTCACTGAATATCGCTGATTGGTGACAGGTCAGTGATTCAGAGCAGCGCTCCAGGTAGTTGGAACTACAGGCCTAGTTTATGACTTCCTCAAAACGATTCGTTTCATGCTGCCGCAATTTATTGGATTCCAAATGTTTTTGAAACTATTTAGTATATTTCAGTTGCTTGTCTATACTCCATGTGGGTTCAATTTTCGTTCGACTGAAGCCACTGGCTTCACTATCTGGATTTCAAATGTACTTCTTATCTTACATTAGCTATGCCATTAGTATGCGTATCGGTRCGTGTTTATGTGTCTTTTTGTGTCGGCTTCATAGTTTGACGTTTTTTTATTGTTGGACGTGGCGCTCACTGATCGAGCGATCAGATAGTTCAGTTAAAATTTATGTAGTCCATAAGTGTTGCTCACATCAACGCCAAAAGGAATCCGTGAACTCGATCTTAGCAAATGTATTTTTATACGTCGSTGCCGGCAAACATATCTCATATGCTCGCTCCATTTTCGATCAGTTAAGGTTTCGTTTTGGTCTCCACCACTCTCCACACTTGYGTTTCGTTTTATATCCTGATTTTATGATTATTATGGCCCTTGCTTTTGCAGAATTTCGATTTCTTATGTTTTGCATTGGACAGACTAGCATCTAAACATGTTCGTATATGTACTGTATGTATGCGCATGAATTGCCTTTTAAGTCCGATTTCCGCTTTAAATGCGGCACATAAAGTAAGCAACAAGAACTTTTCCGATGTTTGCAGGTTGCTGAGGGGCACAGTGTGTATATGGAAAAACTTTATCAAGGAGCTCTCCACGCTAATTATTAAATAAATCTGTAAACAGATTTCTACATCAAATTGGCTCGCTCTCAATTGGATGGAATGTTAAGGAAACTCGTCAATAAAATTTAACTTAAGGTGCTTCTAATRAAATATTGCCTTCTTTTAATTAAGGAAGATAAGAGGGTGAATGCCAGAAATCAATCATTAACCGTAATATTGCAAAACMACTGTTCATTCTTACAAGCAATTTATTTTGCGACAAAATTGAATTTATGCGAGACTATTTTGAGTGGAATTTATGGCAATTTGCCGCAAATCACTACCAGATGTTTACTATTATCTTGAATTTTGTAAAATGTAAGTACATTTAAGTATGATGTTGTATCATTTAATTATTTTGAAATTAATTTATTAAATATCTATTTACAATTCGATCACAGATAAATGATCAGCTGATTTATTGCAATATTACCACGGAGCRCTCATCTAACCCAATTTGCATTTTTGCCACTTTGGTAAATTAAATGTTATATGTTATATGTAAAAATCTTTTAAATAAAATTTTTACACAGGAAACCCCAGACTTGCTCCACTGCGVCTGCAATTACTGTTTCTGCTCTCTATCTTTATCCGATTTGATTGTCTCTTTATTGATTCTTCCTTTTTTGGTTAATTTTCATTGTATTTGTTGTTGTTGTTGTTATAGCATTTTTGCTTTT